CTGACTTAAAAAAAAAAAAAGAAAAAAAGAAAAAAAAAAAAGTGGTATAAGGGGAGAAGGTTGTTGGATTAAAATAAGTAGGTATGATATCCAGTTCCAAAATAGGTGTTTACAAGGGAGTTGCCATAGTTAGTGCCAGTTCTACAATGCTGTATTTATTCTCATTGAGATCTTGCCTTGACCTGTGGTTGTTATTTTAAAAAATGGTTTGGTTTGGTGTGTGGGTTTGTTTGTTTTGGGTGGTTGGTTTATTTGGGGTGTGTGTGGGTTTTTTGTTTGTGGTTTTTTTTTGTGTGTGTAGCTGATTCAGATTTCTTTTGAAAGCCCTTGTGATGGCATTGTATTATCTTTCAAACTACTGGCCTAAACTTTCCTGCCTGTAGAAACTTGTTTTGTTAATCACCTGCCTGAATCACTATGAAACTAACTTTTTTTTTTTTTCCTTTGCAGGAAATGCACTCGTTAAATGTGGAGAAACACAAAAGCGAATTGGGACAGCAGACAGAGAACTAATTCAAACTTCTGCTATAAACTTTCTCACTCCCCTAAGAAACTTTATTGAAGGAGACTACAAAACTATTACTGTAAGTTGAATTGTGCATTCTTCATCATTTTACAACAATTGTAACTGTAGATCTTCAAAATGAAGTAGTAGATAATTGTGCGTTATTGCTTTCCTCAAACTAATGTAGAAAAAGTCAGGTAGAATTTGTGCCTTTGGTGTGTTTTCCTTCCTTTTGACCAGGTAAAATCAAAATAATTCTGAGGACTTGCTTTTTGTAACTATTGTTCTATTAAAAGTATGTATGTTGAGTATAAAGTGTGTGAGAATAATTAGGATCTAATTCTGCCTTTCTTTTCAACTGAAGAACCTTTTTGTATATGATACTTCATTAAAAAAATTTCCAAGTAGAAAAAGCTTTTGCTTTTGAGTACGTGTACCTATTCTCACGAACTAACCTAACTCGCTTTCAGAAAGAACGTAAACTATTACAAAATAAAAGACTAGATTTGGATGCAGCAAAAACCAGATTGAAGAAGGCAAAAGTTGCAGAAGCTCGAGCTGCAGTAAGTAGAATTTTTTTTCATTTGTCCATCAATTTCAAACTTATTGATACATATTTATAAACTCAACTGCTTGATTATGTTTCCAGTCCTAGCTTCTTACCCTCATCTTACCCTCACTATTTTTCTAGATACTTTATAGAAATGTCTCAGTGGAACACAAGGACACAAAAGCGAATTGCTGATCAAGGTGTTAGTCTTCTGTTTTTAGATATTCCATCAAGTTAAACTTACTTGAACCAAGTAAATATCCTCCCCTTGTTCTATACTAGATGAGCCTATACTGCCAAAAACGACTTCCTACAATCTGCCAAGGTGGTTGTAAATACAAATCATTCAGAGGTCAAGTTTTGGCATTTGAATCTCTACAAGCGTTGAAGCATATGTGTAATTACTTCCAACTGATGAACCTATCTAGACTTCTATATCAAAAATATTTGTAGTTTACTCTTTCTATATTGCTTACTACTTCACACCACCAAACAGGGTGAGACTCTCAAACTCACATTTCTTAACCATTCTTATCCCCTCAAGAAATGCTTGTTCAAGGAGATTCAAATCACTATAAACTTAAAAGCTTTTGCTTTTTAAACTCTTAAAATGCTTCTAAATGGAGGCATAGATAATTGAATGTATGCGATTTCAGCAGGGTATGCTTATAGTATGTTCATAGCTATCTTTTGACTGCATTTCTAAAAGTGCAGCAGTTAATGATGGATAGTGAAGTGATTTTTCCTGTAAGGCTTAATGCAGTAGGGGTCATGCACACAGACGGTGAAAGAATACAGACAATTTAAATACACAGGGACTGTGTGCATGATGAAGAGGCAGAAGTGGGATGATCAGATTTTGCTGGCTTTTCCAAATGGATTGCTGTTCTGAAAGATCTTAGGAGCGTCATCTCTGAGACTGAGCTTCGTAGATGAAGCACCTCACACCTTTGGGATGGTGATCCTTCTAAAAAACCAACATAATCTCTACCTGGCAGTTCTGCTTCTGTGTCTCAATCCTCCATGTCATGCACATGGTCCCTGTGTATTTAAATTGTCTTTATTTCTTAAGTCCATGCATGCATTTCCCCTTATATAATGTACATTTTATGCAAAAAAGCTACTTCTCTACTTGTCAAGCTTTCTTAATTTGTAAGACTAACAATGGAGAGCAGAGCAGGATTTTAGTTAGCTAGTAGTGGAATTTGGAAGCAATGGATAATAAACTATTCCTTTGCTTGGATTTGTTCAGAGTTAATAACCAAAATACTTTTTTTTTTGGAAACTTAACTTCCTTGTGGTGTGGTAGCAGGTATATATCTTACTTCCTAAAACAGTAGAAAGACCATAGGGAAATTGTTCCCCTAGTATTAAAAGAAAGGCTCTATACTTGAGTTTTAGTTCTATCAACAGTGTAACCATCCAGAGCCTGGTGCTTGGACAAAATTATTGCCAGTTGCTGCTGCTACTGCTTGACCAGTCTTAAATATTCATATAGCAAGTAATTCACAGTTGTATTCACAAATAATTTAGTGCTGGTAGAGCATGAAACTCTAGGCCTCTTACTTTACTACCTTGCCATTACTTCCCTTTTAACTATGCTTTAACAGCAGTGTGCATGTTTAAGAAGTGTTTGATTGTAGAATTCCCAGAGAAGTGGAAAAAATGGCATCTCTACTTTATCCTCTGCAATATAGAAATGAGGACTAACCTGGATATAGGTGTGATGCAAATGGTTCGTCTTCTGCTGGCTCACTTATTTATGATGGAAGATATCTGACAAACAGTGCTGAACTGATAGGTTAGCAAAGTGTATTGAGTTACGATGCAAACTTTTGTGTTTCACTACTTTCTTTGGCAGGATAAAGTGATAAATTGCATCTATATTTGATTATTTTTTCCCTGTTATAAAAATATTTAATATTTTATGAAATTACCTTCTCCCATGCTTACTGTACGACTGAAGTAGCTTAGATCAGTATTTAAAATAGAAATCTAAATAGTTTTATTTATCTATATTCAGTTCACAGTCTTGCTTAGCTTAAGCTTGCAGTGCTTTGTGCCAATAATCTGTTCACCTGCTATATTCACAGTGTTGTAACTTGCTTTTGTCTTTTATCTATGCACTTAAGCAACTAAACACCTCTCAGCCTGAAGAGAATAACATTATGGTAAATGTCTCTTACGTGCTCAACTTGCTGCATGTAAAATGGCTAAAGGTTTGTTGGCCTTCTGTGTTCATTCATTTTCCTATCAAATGTTTCCTCTTGCTATCCAGCTCATTTGGTCTTGTTTCAGATGTTTTCCATTCCAAGCTGGATTGGTGTCGTGTACTAAATACACTTATGTCAGTACAGCATTAGATGTTGTTTTTATCAGAATATTTCTGATAATCTGAAGTATACAGTATTATATTCTAATTTCTGTAGTATTATATTCTAATTTCTACGAGTTTATGAATGTAAACTTAGGATGCAAAGGAGTTGATTTTTTTTTTTATCACTTCTGAAATTAATTTCACCCATTGGAGGGAAAGGAATTATTTCATTTTCCTATTTTTTTTTTAGTATGAGTAGGAGTGAATTAGGTGAAATATCCAGGAATATGTAGAAATTATTCCCTTCAAGAAATGTTTTACAAATAACTGAAATTGAATAATACCACATAAATTAATGGCCTAACTTAGAGTACAGTATATCCTAAACTTGTTGCAAGGACTTATTAATGCAGCTGTTTTTAGCACTATAATTGTGAAAGTGGAAAACGAAGGGGTTAATTAATTATGTACAACATAGACTGTGCTGTTCAGCTTGTCCTGGTTTGGGTCTTGGATCTGCACAGCATAGTGGGTCTCATCTCAACTAGTGTTCCAGATTTCTTAGTTGTGATCAGATAAAAGAGCAAATAAACTCGTTTGTTACAACTTGCTTCTGCAACCTTTATGCACGTTTCTTCTTACCGAAGTCCTGGTTGTCACCTTCTTACAACTGCAGAAAATGAAGGTTAAAGGAGAACTGCATTGCAAGAGGGAATTGGAATAGCAAGCTGAAGTAATTAACTTCTAGAGTAAATTCCTTGCAGTTCTATGATTTTGCTGTACTACTTGCTACTGCTTTAATATTCAGTTTGAGATACCTCTAGCATTTGTAATTAAATTTAGGTTTCAATAAAAATGCTTGTGAAATAGGAAACCAGTAATGGAATTAGCAAGAGAAATCATTCATTTGTCTGTTTCAGTCTTTACTTAACGTGGTGTTAAAATGAGAATAACTTTCCATAGATTTCCAGTATTTTAACATATTAAGGTAACTTGAATTCCTCCATAAGGTAATTTAGTTTGTCTGATTCATGCCATTTTCTAAGTAGTTATGTCTTATGTTGTAATAGCTTGTTTTAAATAGATTTGTGTAACATACAAGTTCTAGAAGTCATACACTCTTCAGAATCTAATTTATTTCACGGATGTAGTGCTATCCGTACTCATTGTAGTTTCATTGTATATGAAGGGCTTTGGGCAACTGACTTATAGCACTCCTCAAATCCCTGTGAAGTTCTGAGGACGGGAAAGTGATTAAAAGCCAAAGTATGGTTGCATCCTGTATTAAAGTAACACCAATGTCTAAGTTTGTATGTTTTTATTTCCTTCCCCCCCCCCCCCCCCCCTTAATGCTGACTAGATATGGGCTGAGGAAGTGACGAAAGTAAGTAAACAGTTTAGAAATTGCAGAATTCTGAAACCATAACTTGTGCTGGTCTAATGTAATAAAGGATATTGCACGTTGTTGACTTCGGTCTAATGCTGGCAGCTTGATGCATCACATCAGAATACACTGGTTCCCTCTAGGGCCTTTCAAACTCCAGTGGCGAAACAATGCCTGGGGCTTGTTTTATGGTAAGCTGTTTCTGGTGTCACTTAGTACCACATGATTCTCATGTGACAAGATACAACAGAAAAAGAACTGCAGGACTTGTCTCAAAATTTACTCGTATGGCATCCTGTTAAAAATGACCTCCTAAGAAGGAGCTTATTTGAAAATTTTCAGAAAGGTTGCGGCCTAGTAATCTAAACTGTCCTGAAAAACACTGATCTTCAACTTTTACCCAGAACATGGAACAGTAACTAAAATGGTGGAGTGCGTGCAAGAAACTCAGAGAAAACTCTGAGGGTTTTTTTTGTTGTTGTTGTTCCTTGCCTTTCTCCCCAGTGTCACTAGAGAATGCTGTGCTTATCTTAAGTAACTGAAGTTAGGAGGTAGGCACATCTGAAAACTGCACCTGGGCTGAAGGCTGGTTCATAAATATAGCATTAGCCTCGGGGTGGGGGCTGCAGCCTTCTCGTCATGCCATCCTTTGCATGGGGACAAACTCAGTGGAGCTAATGGAGTGTTAGGCAGTAGTTGCTCCAGTGCCACAAGAAGCACTGTTCTTGGGCTCACTGGCTCTGACAGAGCGGTATTGGGAACAGGCTGTGAGGAGCTGTGCTAACAGTTAAGAAGAAACTTGTCGGGATTTCTGTGGAGGAGGGGAAATAAAAATTAAGGGTAGCAATAGAAAGTAAGGGTAGCTGGAGGGCAGGGGCTTTGGAGTGTGGTTTTTAAAGGGGGACTAGATAGGCAGCTGTGGGAGCTGCAGGGAGTTGCTATTAGAAGCTGGGATATGGAGCTTTGGGTGGAATCTTGAGGGTTGTGAGAGAAAATAAATGACAGCTCTTTCTATTCCAACTTTCTGTGAGTTGTGGTGCAAACGGGAGTGTATGTGTAGAGTGTGGGAGTTCAGGGGGAAGAAGGAGTTTAGAAATTGAACTGTAAAAGGAGGGTTAGGTCAACTTTGATCCCAAAGCTTGAGAATTATTTTTCTATTTAAGTGAAGTAACAATTTGGAAGCAGCAAACCTGTCTGCTGGAGTACTTGGAGTACTATTTTGGGAAAAAGATGGCAGGGGAACAGTACGGCTGTAACAAAAACTAATCTTGAAGCTATAAGACAATGATGAATAAAACTATTTGCTTTTCAGTGCAGCTGTGGGAGCTGCAGGGAGTTGCTATTAGAAGCTGGGATATGGAGCTTTGGGTGGAATCTTGAGGGTTGTGAGAGAAAATAAATGACAGCTCTTTCTATTCCAACTTTCGTTGTGTTGTGGTGCAAACGGGAGTGTATGTGTAGAGTGTGGGAGGGGGAAGAAGGAGTTTAGAAATTGAACTGTAAAAGGAGGGTTAGGTCAACTTTGATCCCAACTTGAGAATTTTATTTTTCTATTTAAGTGAAGTAACAATTTGGAAGCAGCAAACCTGTCTGCTGGAGTACTTGGAGTACTATTTTGGGAAAAAGATGGCAGGGGAACAGTACGGCTGTAACGAAAACTAATCTTGAAGCTATAAGACAATGATGAATAAAACTATTTGCTTTTCAGAGACGATGACAAGCAACTTTAAGGATAGTGAAATCTACGGCTGTAACAAAAACTAATCTTGAAGCTATAAGACAATGATGAATAAAACTATTTGCTTTTCAGAGACGATGACAAGCAACTTTAAGGATAGTGAAATCTAATGGATTGTGTCTTGGAGAGAAAAAGAAATAATACAAAGTGCTGAACCATAGCATAAAGGAGACTGAAAGCTTTAGATTTTGTCATAAGTTATGTAATTCAAGGTTCCCTTTTTTTAATTAAGCATATAAAAAGCAGAGACTATTGAGAAGAAACTACAACACACATGTTCTGCCAAAGGAACAGTAATCCATCCAGGTTTCTAAAGGCAATCTGTCCTGTGTTCGAAAGTTGGAGGAAGAGGTTTATAGATGTTTTCAATTTAAATCTAAGAAGCTTCCCAACAAGGATTTCAGACTGTCCAGTAATCTCTAGATCAATTTACAGGGTGGTTTTTTTTGAGTTAGAACAAAAGATCTGCGAGGTGTCAATGACAAACTGTCTTCAGTTTAACTTCCCCTCTGAAATGTGGAATTAGAGGATATTAAATACTGTACTATAAAACACATGGGGTATGTACTGATGTTACACACTTTATAAATGTATGAATTTTGTTAGGAGTCTTCTGAGGTGTCTGGTGTAGTCAATGGAAAGAGCAGAAGACTTTAGCGTGTGTTCAGCATGTTGAGGTTAGACTGGTTTTGAGCATCAAGGGCAGCTCCTGTCTTTCTTTGACTACAGAGGAGACAAGGAGGCCCAGCTATATTGGGTAGCATGAATATATCCATTATCACTTTTTTACTAATAGCGTGTCTAATAAAATCACCTTCCTAATGTTGTTTTATTTCCTATGCTTTTATGATTGTGTGTTATCCCTTAGCTACAGGATTGCACAGTATTTCTGAGAGGTCATATATTCTTAAGTGAAATTTGGGGAGATTATGAACTTCTGAATATTCATAGTCAGAAACTGGGTTCATATTCTGAACTTGGGGAGCAAGTACCATTTTGAGGGATCTTTGTGGGAGATACCCAGTGAGGCATTCTCATTGTTCTAAAAACAAAATATGACTGCAGCTGGGGGTCACTGGAAAGTTTAGGCTTGTATTTTGAGCTCTTCATTCTGTTCAGAAACAAAGGTGACGAGGCCATAAGCTTCCCAGATTGAAAGTCAGCCGTTTTCCACATTTACCACAAGGTGTACAATAGATTCGCTGTCCTGCTACTGTTCACCTAGTAGTACTGAAAATAGGGATAGGCAAATAAATGCATCATCACATAATTCAGTTTATGTAAATCTCTACAAAACCAGTACATTGGGCTTTTGTAAAGCAATGTATTTAAAGTCACTCTATACTGGCTAAGTTAATACATGTTACCACATTACTCACTTTGCCTTTTCTTCTAGAAAGTAGTTGATTTGCTAAAATATTGTTGAAACAGAATTATTCTGATGGATATTTCCCCTTCTTATAAGTTCCTATTCTCATGTACTTACTTACCTGGCAGGAAGAAGGAAACACATTGCTTCAGAGAAGCAAGAGACTAGACTATTTATCTCCAGATAAATGGTTTACCTATGAATGATTTTGCTATTTTTTTTTTTTTTTAAAGGAAATGAAGATGTTGCTAATACAGAAGGGGCTGCTTTTCCTCCCTTCTTGGCTATCAGATTCGCTTTTTTCCCGTTTGTTCTTACATTTCTCTCAGGGACTGCCACATGGATTTCACCAATATTAATACAGATTTAACAGGAAAATTCCAAGCAAAGATTCTTGCCTCAACAAACTTTGAAAACCTAATCAGTTTGTAACTTGATACATAGACTATCGCAGTTTTAAGTAAGAAACGCATAGTACTTTATAGCTGCTTCTTCACTGTTTAATTAATGTGTAAGCCTCCCAGCTGCAGTGACTTCACATGAAAAACATTTCTTGGGCAACGGCATCATTATTCTGTGTTCATTTCTGAGATTAAGATCCTTCCATGCAACTTTTCATATTGATTAACATTAGTAGAATGCAAGAGCAGAATGTTTGCAAACACACAAAATCCTTTTGAAACCAATGTTTTATCAGTATCACCTCATTAAGTTTCCTGAAAATATATTTCCTTACTCCATTTTGTTGAGAACAGTAACTGCTGTATCTTGGACTTAAGGCAGATTTTTGCCTTTGGGTTTGTTTTTAGAAACAAGATACTAAATGCATATAAGCACTGAGGCAAGGTAATCCAGATTCCCAGCTGAGGATGTTCTGTCTTGGAACAGTAAATCTTAGATATTACAACACATAGTTCTATGTATTTGTGTGTTCTGAGTAGTGTCCTTTTTTTTCCCAAAAAAAAACCTCTAAAGTAATTTTGGCTTGTGCTAGATGGGAGTCCTTTAAAACGGCTATAATGTTGTTAACTTATTTAAAAATTGCTGATAATGATATGTAACAAGGAATAAATTTGAATTGGACTTATTTAAATATGAAACTTAAATCCAATAATTTTAATAGAAATTTTACTCTAACTGAAGTTAGAACACTTGTTATAGTTCGGATTTTTTTATTTTTAAAGACGCCTCAATTACAAGCTCCAGAAATAGTTGTAGTAGCTTCGTGGCCAGTCTGAGACATTAATTTATGAAATATCCTTTTAAAACTTAGCGTCAAAGATTTATGTACGGCTGATTGCCGTGCAGTTACCTGACAAAAATAATGTGAGGTTTACCCTAAATTATTTGGTCAGAGCCCTGTTAACCTGAAGTATGGAAAAAAATTACATTGTCCTTGGCTGCCACTGCTATGCTGGCAGAGCCCCTGGTGCAGACACCGTTATGCCAATGAACGCTTGGTTTGTTATTGGGAGAGGTGGGGTAATACTGCCGGCAGAAAAATGCCTGCCTTTTGCGTGCCTTGACTCTGTGTGGTAGGCGTCTGATGATAAAGCTGTTTGTTGTGTATACAGGGCCTCAACATTTCTGAACCCAAAATGCAATTACTCTTTTTTGCCTAGTAAAGATCTGCAAAGAAAAAGCACATGTTTCAAACACCTAAGCTTGTGATTAATGCATTTGTATGAGTAGCTCTGAATGAAATGGGACTGTTGCAGTGTAAGAGAGTGCATTAGCTCTGAATGAAATGGGACTGTTGCAGTCGGAAGGTGTAAGAGAGTGCACTGTACAAATACCTAATATGCATCCTTACTTTCAGTCTGAACAGGAAGTACGAATTACTCAGAGTGAATTTGACCGTCAAGCAGAGATTACCAGACTTCTGCTGGAAGGAATCAGCAGCACACATGTGAGTAACCAAACGGGGTAGAGGGGTAAAGTCAAAATTAGGGCACTTTCTAAAAATAACTATAGTAAGCTACTTGGGAACTTTGGGCTACAAGTTTTCGCTTTAATACCTTAAAGCATCAAACAACTGTGGGTTCTTTATTTTTTGAATTCTAGTTTAGTATCCACTGAATTTAACTTTAGTTTCCTGTTAACCTTGAGAATGCAGGATCTTTCATTTTTATCCTTTAAACTCAACTTCCCATTCATCAGATCAACTGAATGTTGAAACCACAAAAACGTGCTGAAATATTTGTTCTGTTGTTGAAACAATATAGGTAAATGATGCTTGTACAGCACCTACTTCGTTCTGTTGTTGAAACAATATAGGTAAATGGCATGATGCTTGTACAGCACCTACTTTTTGTGCTCAAATAGCTAATTTTTGTGACATGTTATCCCAGTTACCTGGTAAATCCAGGCACTGTGCCTATGTGGCATAAATCCCTATGTGCCAATATTGGCGTTAGCACCTGATTAGGAGACCAGTCTTTCTAATGCAGCACAGTACTTTTACAGACTAAAAACTTGAATTCTTTGCTGTATTATAGGCACATCATCTTCGCTGTCTGAATGATTTTGTTGAAGCTCAGATGACGTATTATGCACAATGTTACCAATATATGTTGGATCTCCAGAAACAACTTGGAAGGTAGTAACGCTATAAAAACTTCAGGAAAAAAAAAGTTTTTTCTAAGTGCTTATGAATAGTAGGAAAACTTACACTGGTGTAACAGTGGTGAACACACAGGCATGCTGGACTGAAAGGAAATGTATCTGTTCTCAGGTAATTAATGTGTAATTACCCCAGTGCAACTACTTCCTAAGCCTACACACAGCACTAATGCCTTTTGAGGGTTGATTTACTGAGATTTTGTATATTTTGTAATTGAGGAAGGTGAGCCTGTAGTAACCTCATTTAATGGCACAAAAAAGAATTTTTAGAGAATTACTTGTAATCATTCATTTGTCTTATGCTTCATGCTACAAAACTGCTATGCAATGTGGGAAAAGTTTTTGTACTGCCCGTAAATTCCTGTTACCTCTTAATTTGCCACAGGGCAACTACCTGATTTTCAATGAAACTGTATTCTCCACTGTTAAGTGAGTTGCCAGCATAGATATTGTATCTAGGGAGAAATGTACTTCATAGTATCTATAATCAGTAATCCAAAGCACTCACAGTGGAACGAGCATGTTTGTCTAGTTTTACTCTTTCGTGGGTTTAGCATTTTTAAAGTAAGAGAAGAAACTGTCTGATGTTAGTTTGTGCTCATAATCCTTTTTTTGTGATTAGTGGTGATGTAAAGAGATCTACATGCTTACTTGTCATAAAGTTTCCCTATTCTAATTCTTCTTCACAAATCAGCCTTTCTTAGGGTTATACCAGACCATGTTATTTAGGTGAGCGTACGCATTGAAGGATTATCTGTACTTAGAAGTTTACTGTAGTGTCTATTCTAAATAACTGTCTCTATAAAGTATCTCTGTTTATGTTGTTCATGATGAGGAAGTAAAAACAAAAGTGTTCTTGAGTCTTGTCCTTTTCCTGACTTGCAACTTCCTGTGGCGTTTGATTTCCTTTCCTCAGTTTGTTTGAATGGGTAGATTAAAGACTTTAAAAAAAAAAAAAAGTCTTTTAAGAGACTTTTTTTTTTAAAAGTCCTTTAAAACTGTGATTTTAAAATAAGCTACATCTTTAAAGTTACATTCCACTGAAAGAAGTATTCAACTATAAAATTTGCTTGCGCATAAATGCAAGTTGTAGAATTGAAAGCTTGAAAATAAATATTTACTGGATTAAGGACAAGTGCCTCTTAAATTAGAAATTAAGTGAAGTATATTTATACTTTCGAGAGGATGTTTTGAAAATCTGTGCTCTTATCCTAGTATATTTACCAAACAGAAAGCTTTAAGCATAATACCCTTAACCTAAGGAAGAACATATGCCTCTTTAAAATCTTTTGCTTCAGGATGTATAGCATGTCCAGAACAGCTGTCTTTGTTTAAAATTTATGTAAACTGCTACCAGGTATAAAAAAAAAAAAGTATATTTGAAGAAAATACTGCCTTTAGGAAAACAGAAGGATGTATCTTTATGTGGCTATGATCTGATTAGTATTTTTGATAAAATTACTATGACTGCTAGAAGACCAAAAGCATGGAAGTGTTGCAAAATCCTAAATGCCTCAAACAGCCAAATGAAGTTTTTCTACTTATGTGGATTTAAACAGCAACGGTATTAAACCTTGGGCGTGTCTTTCCTTCCTTGTGCAAGGAAGTCCTGCTGAACTATAATGGAGAGCACTGGGACAGGGTCTCAAGTTGCGCTCCTTGTTTTGGAAGAGTTCCTCAGTTTATAGGCATATGGCGCATAGCACTTGCATTAAATAAACAGATGAGCAGGATATGTGTAGCGTTCTTCCTATGTAAATGCGCAGGCAGATACAGTACCAAATAAATAGCTTAGGCAGCCCAGCTAGGTTTTGGTTGTATTTGCCAGTGCTCTGTTGGTTAAGGGTTATATAGTGCTGAGTTACACGTGCTCTTTTCACACATCTAGGAATGACGTTGTGCCATATTCTCATACGAAAGCCAAGAGCTATGAGGGGCTTATTTTTGGTTTGAGATCATTGGTGAACCAAAGGTGTTCAACCTCTAAGTGGGATAGTTTGTTGCTTGAAACAGAAACCTGGTTCTCAGAGTAGATGTGTATTACATGTTTTACGTGGGTCAGAATCTAGGGCATAAACCCTAACCCGGCTCGCACTGAGACTATTCAAGTTCCAAAGCTGAGCACTGATTTTCCTGATGTACTCTCCAGAGTCAGCTGTAGGGAAGGTGGGGGGAAAACTTGTGCTCAGTACTCTTTATATAAAGAGACATGGTTTTATGGATGTTTCTCTTCAACGCAGCATCAGCTGCTTATCCCTCTACTGCTTCCCCCTCCTGTGGGACTGCTTAAAGAATCAAATTTCCCAGGTTAAAAGCAATCTCTCTTCTTTTTTCTTTAGTTCCTGAGAATGCACTAAACAAATCTATTTCAAATATCCTGGTACTCTAGCTGCTTTTTTTCTTGCTGATAACTGCTTTTGCTTTGAATTTTCTCAGCTTCCTTGACAGCCAAGCCTAAGCTTTGGCATCGTTATTTTTCAAATTACCCATTACTAGTCCCCTACTCTACAAGCTGTGAAATTCCTGCTACTCGAGTGTTCAAAAAAAATCCCAGACAACCTCTGTATAGCTGAAGCTTTCCAGTAACATGCCTACATATGGCTTTGCAAAAAGAGTGAGACTTAATGCTTTACTGATTGACAGAGTGGTTATAAAGCTTTGGCTTTCTTTTCCACTAGCTATACAAACCAGTGACCCTTTGAACTGAGCAGAATGATTTTCAAGTAATTACTGTGTTAACAGAGAACAGGTTTAGCAGTATACTAAATGGTAATTTAGCAATATTGAGAAACAGCTGATTGTCATTTAAAACTAAATCCCTCTGCCAACTAATCAAGTAATAAACACATCATGAGGCACAGCTGAGTTATCCCTAGAAGAATGTGGGTCTAGCTTTTCCTCCCTTTGTTCTGCTTGTTTGAATTGCTCAGGGAACATGGTGAACTGGTTTGAAAAACTAATCTGGCAAATGAAAAAAAAAAAAATTTTTTTGGTGGAGTTGCAGTCTCTTGGTGAGTTGAACCAGCTCTTTATGATCAAATGAGGTAAGGTAAGCCAGAAGGGGAAGCGGGACTTCCTCCTTTGATGGTAGTAAACTGCTAACTAAACTCATGACAGACTCCTGAAAGTCTACCCAATTTTTTATGTGCCATTCAGTCTAACTGTAAAGGGGCTAGTCCTGTCCTTCGCAATATACTCCTGCTGTTTGCCTTCAGTCAGATATAACTGCAAGGTGAACATGTTTAACAAGCTGCTCTGATGGAAAGTTAGCACTCTTGATTTTTTTTTGTTGTTGTTGTTATATCAGGTTGTTGAATCAACTCAAAAGCAACAGATTGCTAGATCTGATTCAAATGACAGAGAATGAACATTTGCGCAATAAAGGGGTAGAAGAGTGGGTCCACCCTGTTTGGTGGTGGTGTAAATTTACCAGATTAAGTAGTGTGTAAGTTTACTTGTGTGCAGTAGCGCTGCAGCTGATACAGATTTGAGCTGCCTTAATTCCACCTATGTTCTTGGCCACACAATCCAGAAATTAGTCACTGTATTGATAGATGTAGTTTTCACCTGCATCAGCTCCATAAACTAGCTCCTCTTATGATTATATGAGCACCAGTAATGCTGCAGACACGGGTGTGGGAATATACTGATCTTGATTTATATGGTTAAATTTGCCACTGAACTGCATCTTCAAGAAGAACTTAACTGGGGAGCATAGGTGGGAAGGGATGAGGTGAGACTGTGTTTTCTGACAGGTTCATACACACAATATGAATAGATCTTCATTATGTCAAAAGAGTAGGCAAAAAAAAAAGGGGGGGGGGTAATACATCCATATCCCAGATGTTAATGAAAAAGCATCTATGTAGAAGGACTGATGAGGAAAGTTATGTGTGGGAATTGACGGACTGATGTCAGTCATCAACTGATACTAGTTGATGCGTAGACTGGTCAAAAGAATGGAAGGAGATGCAGCTACAGTTCCACATCATCCTGACTCAGTCTCACTCCTGCTTGCTGACCCTTTTGCACTGCATCAGCTCTGCCACTTTTCAAAACCTTCGTTGACCTGCTTTTAAGGTAGAATCAGACATGAGACAGTGACCAAATCTCATCATTGCCCCCCATGCTGTCCCATTCCCCCTACCCTGTTGCCCCGAAATCTCTTGCTGCTTTGCTCTCCTCTCTGCTCTTTCCACTTTTCAGCCATGTTATTCTGTCCTTTCCCTTGTATCTGCTGTGGCTCTCATTGCAGTTTTTTGTGACTCAGCTCATTAACTTAGTAGAAGATTATACACTTTTTTTTTCTACCCTTTTTTTTTTCAGGCAGGTTAATGAGTTGAATTGACTTCATGGAAGGGTCTGGCAAACACTACAGCTGACACAGAACAAGCAGCAGCCTGACCTAGAAAGGAGGGGCTTTAATAGTTGATATAAGTTCATCTTTAGTGTAATAAATATTTTTGTTTTACAGCATGCAGTTAGCTGAATCAACGAACTGATTTAGATTACAAAAATAGTTCTGGGGTTTTTTCTTCTTTCAGAGGGAGGCTGCATTTTTAACCTGCGTTATATTTCCCTGATCTGGTTCACCAGCACAATCTTTTGTGTAGCCACATAATTGAGGAATGAGCTGGAGGAGGTGGAGGCTACTTTTACTGGCAGAGCTGTCAAAAGAAATGTTTATTAAAATACAGTCTGAATTAAGTCTGACCAACAGTGCTTTTTTGGTTTTTACTTTCCTTTTTTTTTTTTTTTGAGGCAATTAGCAAGTTTTTTTAAGGTGGCAGTATTTCTTTTAAAGTATATTGGTTTGATTTATACTACAGTCAGGAACTAGTATCTTTCTTTAGGTTTATACAAGTATTGGTGCTGTTCTATTACTGCTGTCTGCTGGTGTTTATTCTGTAGCTGATGAAAGCAAGAATGCTAATTTAGGCATGGAGGCATGTATAACTCCCCACGTAGAACTGATTCACTCAGAATTCTTTTCATTTTGTTTTCTCCCACAGCTTTCCATCTACTTTCCTCTCTAACAATAATCAGTCTTCCTCAACTCCTGTGCAGAGTGTTTCTACTCCCTCACTCTTGGCCTCGGCCTCTGCTTCATTGCCTTCTGTAAGCAATTCAATAGTTACTTCAGGCATCAGTGAACTGAAGTCATCAAGTGGCAACAGGAAAGCTAGAGTTCTCTATGATTATGATGCTGCAAACAGCAGTGAATTATCACTACTTGCAGATGAGGTAAGAGTTTTCTATGTACCTTGATCACTTAAAAGTAAAATCAGAATGCTTGTGACTAGCCAGTTAAGATATGCTACATCCAGAAATCTGTGTAGTTGATTTTTTTTTTAATTAAACTTCAGTAGTACTCTTAGAGCATTGTCCTGTACCTATATACCCTAATATTCTATAGTGAGACTTAACATTTTTTACACCAGCTTAGCTTGCAAGAACATTTACCAGACAATCAAGATGCAATTCTGCTGTCTTCTTTTTACCACACCTTTAGCACTGTTACCAATACAATTAGTCTTTCAAACATTAAATATTGCAATTTAGGAAGAATATGAAAATACAACCACTTCTTGTTTTGGTGGCGGTGGTTGTGCTGTGTTTATTCCTGTTCCAATTCAATTACACTCTGAAGTCAGAGAGCCTGTACAAAGCAGGCGGAGATATACAATGGAAGCAGGGTGCTGGAACAGTGTTCCACCTAGTAATGTGACTGCAGCTTAACCCTGAAGAAAAGCATCCACAAAAAAGTTTTCAGACTTTTTGGTTTTTTTAAATGTGCATTACTTAAATATTTCTATTTGACTTTTTTCTTATCTAGACAGTGACTTAGAAGCTGTGACCTAAGGTTTTCTGTTAAGATGTAGCACATCAACACCATGTCTTTCTGTCATGCACTTGAAGATCCAACGAACTTTCTTTTAGATTTCCTGTTAAAGTTGATGGCGATATACAAGATTTACAGATAAAAAAATAATAGAAAAGAAACAGTAATGAATAGAATTTCATCAGAGGGACTTTAAAATACGTTACTATATCTGCTTCTCTTCCATGGACCAGGGAAATAATTTTTATGAACACTAGATTATGTTCCATGGATGCTTGTATTAGATGCTCTATTTAGCTTGGTTAATCTCAATTCTAAGACCTTGGAAATCATAGAATCACAGAATGGGTTGGAATGGAAGGGACTTTTAAAGGTCATCTAGTCCAACCCCCCTGCCGTGGGCAGGGACATCTTCAACTAGATCAGGTTGCTCAGAGCCCCGTCCAACCTGACCTGGAATGTTTCCAGGGATGGGGCATCCACCACCTCTCTGGGCAACCTGTGCCAGTGTTTCACCACCCTCAGCGTAAAAAATTTCTTCCTTATATCTAGTCTAAATCTACCCCCCTTTAGTTTAAAGCCATTCCCCCTTGTCCTGTCCCAACACCTCCCCGGCAAGGCAAGGTTATAACAATGTGTTTCTGTTTTTTAGGTGATAACAGTGTACAGTATCCCTGGCATGGATTCAGACTGGCTGATGGGTGAAAGGGGAAATCAGAAAGGCAAAGTGCCTATTACTTATTTAGAACTGCTAAACTAGATGGTTGGCCTGAATAAAGACTGTCAATTATGGTGACACCATATTTATATACAATTAACGTTATGTAAGCAGGTTTAAGTGTCTTCCATGTTATTTTCTTGAGGGACAAATACCAGCCATTACAAACTGGCTTTTCTGCCAGCATGGTTGCATGGTAAATACTCTTTTCAAACTTCATGTGTTTAAAGCTTTTACTTCATGTGCCAAGAACATCTTTCCTACAGATTTGTTTCTACTGAAGTTTTCACTAATACAAGCTTCTACTTTTTGAGTAATCTAGATTGAAAGCAGGAGGTACTGTTTTCTACTGAAATTTTTCATTAATGGCAAAGCTTTTCTTCACATAAAATAAACTTACTGTGAACTGATGCAGGTGTAACGCACGTTATTTGAATAACCAAAACCAAACGTGAAACACAAACCTTAAAGGAGTCCGTATGGTTCTGTTCCCAACACTTGTGGAGTACAAATGTGCTGAGGCATATATGGCTATCTGCTGAGTAATTTGTGCGTTTAATCATCTTTGAAAAATGAAAACGGTTGTTTTCTTTCTGTTGAAAATTTAAGGCAAATTGCTAGTATGTTGAGATTTAAGCTGCACGTAGGTGGGTTGACACAAGCTAGTGACATATGTTCTGACTTGTTTTTAATCTTGCCTTGTATTTTTTCCCTTTAATTGCTTTCCAGAAAAGAGGCTAATTCAGTTTGATTGGTAATTATTAAGATTCTTTCAACTGCAAATCAGCCTTTATGTTAAATTAAGCACTGCATTTTGCTAACCAAATATGCATTGTCTCTCTACATTTAAGTAGTTCTATAGATGAGCGTACATTTGTTCAGATTATAGGTTTTAATGAAAATCTGCATTCACAATTCTTACGCAACAGTTTATTGTCATGTTCTAATTGGATTCAATTAGCGTTACACTCTTGTTTTGCAATAGGACTTCCTTTAAATATGTGGGAAGGGAAAAAAAATGTTTTGACCCTAAAAATGGCTTTAACAAAGGTAGTATTATTTGCAAATAATATAACTTTTTCCTAAACATGCACCCTTTAACATTTCATAAATAGCAGATTTTTAAGGCTGTAAAAAGATTAAAAGGATAGGTTGAGGGGATTTTTTTTTTTTTTTTAAGTTCCAGTATATTTAATTAATTGCATTGGACTGGTTGAAGGAAATTCCTTCCATTGAGAAGGAAATTATTCTCCTTGCAGAAGATGCAGCATTGACAGAAGTCCACTTTAGCTCTCGAGGAACACTGGTACCAAGTGCTTAGCTAACTGCTTCTGATCAGCAGCTTTGTTTGCAATGACAATTCTTTAAAGAATTTTTAACATTGTCATTGCAAACATGTAGTGATGAAACTTTCAGTGATACAAATTACTTCAGTGGGATGGATAAAATTGTATTCATTTAGGTGATGTGGTTGTGTAGTGGTTTAACCCTAGCTGGCAGCTAAGCACCACAGAAATTGTAGCATTTGCTATTGGATTGCCCTGAAGATCTTTAACAAACCCCTTCACTCCTCGATTAATCTGCTCGATGTAACTGGTAAGGGAGTTCTTGTTGTCCTCCCAGTAGCCCTTCAGGTGGGAATTTTTCACAGCTAAGCTCCACTGTGATTTCAAAGCAGTTGCTGCTTGAGGTAATTGACATCCTGCATTCCTCCCGGGACGCTGTACCATGCACCGCCATTAGTTGTTCCATCCTCAAAGCTGCTGTCATCGTCATTTTTACGACACGGTGGTCTGTCTGGATCAGATATAGCGGGACTGAAAGAAGAATAACTGCAAGCCAGGCTTTGAAAAATAGCATCATCGAGGCAGAAGCTGTATTCATGAGCACTGCCACTCTGAGTCTCATCATAAGGATAGTTTGCAATGAGGTCTCCTCCATGAAAGTTGGCAGAGAGCACAAAGGGAATATCCGTGATCCAGTGAATGACACCTTTTGTTTCAGGAGCAAGCTTAAGATTCTGGTCCACAGCTTTTCTCATGTTTTGCAGCAGATGCTTGTTTGGGCCACCTTCTTTCTCATCAACATAGACTATTCCCCCCCGGTGGAATGGGGGAGAGAATCGGAAGAGTAAAAGTGAGAAAACTCGTGGGTTGAGATAAAGACAGTTTAATAGGTAAAGCAAAAGCCACGTGCGCAAGCAAAGCAAACCAAGGAATTCATTCACCACTTCCCATTGGCAGGCAGGTGTTCAGCCATCTCCAGGAGAGCAGGGCTCCATCACGCCTAACAGTTACTTGGGAAGACAAACGCCATCACTCCGAACGTCCCCCCTTCCTTCCCTCAGCAACAACGAAAACATCCCTGTGTTACCAACACTGTTCTCAGCACAAATCCAAAACACAGCCCCATGCTAGCTGCTGTGAAGAAAATCAACTCTATCCCAGCCAAAACCAGCACAGGTTGTTTAATTAAAGTGATGATTTTTACTTTGAATTGCACTTTCAGAAATATTCTCTTTCATTTTTAGAGCACAGAGGTTACATTAAAACAAATACATTGAGTTGGTTCATCAGTTGCAACCTTCTTGGGGTAACTACCAAGAAAATCCTAGATTTATTCAGTCTGTTAAATGCAAAGGTTAGAGGAAACAATAGTAATAATTACTGATGAATTAGAAATAACCATGCATAATTCATGATGCGTTAAACAAAATTATTAGGAAGATAAAGCCCTACAGTTGAGAAGGAAAAAGACTGAACACTTTAACCACAGTGGTGGTGGTCTCCAGTCCTCTCTAATGTGAACTGCCATCAAATGTGTTTAAATTCAAATCAGTATTATTCATTTGACTTAATTTATAGAATATTCAAGAATACATATGTAAAATAATTACAAAATGTAATTGAGACTGCTATACTGGACCGTTTACTTCCTATTTAAATGCGATAAAATGTTACAAAGCAGCATTTAAAAAGATGGTGGGGGTTTAGTGCCATGTAAGTAGTACAGCTATGTGAAGGCAACATTTGGCAGCAGTCAGAATCACTTTCTGTTATACATCAGCAGCTTAGGCTGTGTGTGAGAGAAATTGCAGTTGACCCCTTAGTCTAACAAAACCGCAAATCCACATTCTCAATTCTCGCTGTTTCTGTTTAATTTCAAACCAAAAGTAATTTTCCTCTTAAGTAAAGAAAGTTGTTACTGTTTTCTTAAATTCATCTATCCTGAGGTTCTCTGTTGTACCATTGAGAAAAGTGCTCGTTTAACGCTAGTATTGAATTGAATAGAACTTTATTGCAGGTAGTCCCAAACCTCAGCATCTTTAAATGTCATTTTGTGGGGAACTTTCAAAAAAAAATTGACTGGGCTTCTTTGGTTTTGCTTTCTGACTCAATAATTTTTGCAACAAATACGAAAGTAACTGTAGTTGGCTTTGGGTCTCTCATTTCTTCAGTTAATTCTCTGTTTTCTTAGAACAAGCTTTATTGGTTGAAAGAAAGGAAAAAAAAGGTAAACCAGGCCAGAAAAACCCTATATGAATGTTCCAGACATTTGGGAAATCAGATTTCAAACATAGAGAAAGGCATAGAATATGCGTTACCTTATATTTAATAACTGGTTTGGCAAGATAAGTGCATTCTGAATTGATACCTAAGGATGTGTGCACGAGGGGATAAATACTCCCATTGCTGTTCAATGCATCTTTTTTTCTATATTTACTGGCATTTTACTTCATTTTTCTAATTAATGCTAAGGTTTTGGACAATGCTAACCAGAATAGCCATCCCATGTACACTCTGTAACAAATCTGAGTGAGTTTTCATCAAAGATTATCAGCTTTTGTGGCAGATAGGATAATATACAGCACCATTAGTGTGAGTAAATGGATGCTTTTAGAAAACTAAATACTAGCTTTAAATAGTTTCTACCATAATTGCTGTTTTTAATGCTTTCTTAGTCAGGCTAAGCTTGAAAAGTAACTCCAACTGATTTTTAACAGAAATCCTGTTTTGGAGTTTTTGCAAACCATGAGATTTTTATAATTGTTATATCGCTTCTGTTTCTTTCTAGAGTAGTGCTGTATCTTGGAGCAGAATTCTCTACCATATGGGAAATTTTGGGTACAGGTAAAACCATCGGTATGTAGTGTCTTAATTCAGGCAAATGTGTGTGGGAAGGTGGAGGAAGGAAAGAAATATATCCATGAAGTACATCACTGTGCAAAGATACCAAACTTAGCGTAGGGCTCTGCCCAACGTAATCAGTCTTCTGAAATGCAAGCATAATTAGTCCAAAAACAACGCTGTGTTATTACAGCTCTACTGCCTCTGGGATTGGAGCTAGCATCGCTAGATCTCACACACGGTATGTGAATTAGTATGCTGCCATATTAATTCTTACAGTGTCACTAGCTCAGGTACCTCTACAACGTGCAATTTATTGAATGTTATGGAAGTTGCAAGAAAGGATAGAGTTAAGCCTGTATATTCTAGTTGTCAGGATATCCCATACCTTTAAGGAACACTGGAAGGAGAGTGTCTTTCTTGTTACACTGCAGATACTGTAGCAGTAGACTACAGCAATAATACCAAGATTTGAAAAATACAAAGTTTAATAACTGTAGGTGCTCTCCTAAAACAGAACTTGAGAGAATTGCTTACAAGCTGCTTAGGCAATGACCATCAAGTCCATTTCCAACAGAAGCTTCCAAAAGATGGTTGTGATGTACTGGGGGAAGAGAAGCAAAATGGGAAATGCCCGAATGTGAAACCTAAAGATATTTTGACAAAACCATGCAAGTAATTGGAGTTTATGTATATGCTTAGCATATAGCTTACAGTAAGTAACTGCTGAAAAAGCGTAGGTGTATTCTGGAACAAAACATTGGCAGAATACGTGATAAGTGTGATTCAGCTTAAATACTTACATATGGTAGTTGTAGCTTGAATTTTTTGGATGCAGGTAGCTGTACAATTGGACCCTAAGTTTGGTCACGGGATGCAGCTTCATAATTGCAATTTGCTGTATTGTTCTCAGTAGAAGAAACATACATGACAGTTCCACTTTTAAATCTGGCCCAGGGAAGAGGTAGCATTAAAATGGTTTTTGTTCTGCTATCATTAATATTTAGAATTTAATCTGGGAATTAATTATAAGGCATCAATAGATTAAAAGAGATTAAGTAGAAATCAATTAATTCCTGAGTGTTTGATTATCAGCACTGAATAATGGCCTCTTACATCTCAACTCAGTTCTTTTTGGAAGATTGTGCAAGAGTGACCTGTGGTGTATTCTAGGAGCCTAGGTGTGATAATATATGGAAAATTAGTTAATTTGCCTCTATAGTGCTTCAAAATAATTAGCAATACAAAAACTTGATGTACTATATGCAACTTCGATGCATC